AACAAAAAATTTATTTATATTATTTTCTATAATAATGTTCGTAATGCAAAATTAAAACTTTAATCGGTTTTCTCAACATGTAGTATTTTTCTAACTCTTTCCTATTTTATATATATTAATGTGTTGTATATGTATATTGTGTGTGTTATATTATATCATTTATATATTCATAACACAAAATTGTTAAAAAGATTACATTTTCAAAAATGTAAACTACTCGTATGAATCTTTTTTATATCTTGTGTTAGATGTGTAATATGGAAATTAGAAGGCAATAATTAAATATTTTAATTTTTTGTGATTCCATAATAAATATGAAATTACTAATTTACTAGAGAATGGAGTGATATATAATAAAAAATTTCATTTCTAATATTTGATTATAAAGCGTCTCCTTCAATACATTTATATTTGATGTCATGTTATATTCTTTTTGCGCTCTGTATACACTTTTATTCCTCAGTTCTTAAAATTCCATTTTCCATTATCAAAGGGAAAGTAGTTACATTTTTCTTTGACAATTTGTATGTGTATTACAAATTTATTTCCTATATTATTATCCTACCGTTATCATTTCGGATATTTATAGTAGGATGCATCCATCTCAGTATCAGCAAACAATATTGTTGTCTCGCTATTGTTGTGAGAAATAATTTTATGTTTTCCGCGCTCCAATGCAATAAAGCTCCTTGACAAACGACGCTCCACACATAAGGAATGAAGAACTCTTCCGGTTGTTCCTCTTCCACATATTTAATTTTAATTCTGGAAATTTCTATAAAAAGCAATACATATAACAAGATTAAAAATTGTTTATATAATTTAAATAGATGACATAATTCCTCCAATAATCTCTATACATACTCAAACGATCTCGTGGCCATTTAAAGTTCCTTGCATAGTAGCCAAACTTGGCTAACAAATTTGCGACTGATCTTTTTGCTCCAATTTATAAGAAAAGAAATTAATCACCTAGAAATCAGACATTCAAAATTCGATTATTGCATTAATTTAAATTTACAATATATTAAAATAATTAAAACAATTTTTTTTATTATTAAAATATATAAATGTTATATCATTTGTACACTTACAGAATCAATATTTTGCACGATATCTTGGAAAGCAGAGTGCATTCTAAATGGTTGAAAAACATCCTTTTTATATAAGAGAGTGTAAACTAAGTTTGGGTTGTATGCGAGTCTGTGAGTTAAACAGCTATTTATAATTTCTAGCACCATCCGTAGAACTTCCTCAAGAATGGTTAAATCTTGAATCTGCAATACATATTTTAATTGACAATACAGATTGACTTATTTAATATGATATATCTTATATTGTACATATATATCTACCAAATCTGTATTTGCAACGGTAGCATTTCCATTAACAGTTACACTAATAGTATTATCAGAAGAAGTTATCGGCTGTGTTTGCGCTCGAATTTTTGCTTCTAACCGAGCGTGCTTTTTCGCAAGAGTCTCGAAGAGACTCAGCAATCTTTGACTAACATAAGGATGTAAGGATGTGAATTGGGCAGACATGTTTGCCAAAGCTGCTAGACAGTTCGTATGAAGATATTTGTCCTAACAAAGATAAAAAAATATAATTGTAATTTTTTTTAAATGTTTTGTGATTTTAAATCAATATATAATATAAAAAGGATGTCATATACTTACTCTCATTTTAAACATATTATATTGTATCGTGCGAATCACAACAAGGATTAAAAGACCACCTAATGATATTTCGCTTATGGATCTCTCAGTGTACCATGTTACACCTTTGAGCATCTTAAGTAAAATAATATAATTATTAATTGTTGTGTTAATCATAATACAATTACATAAAATATCACAATACTTACAATTTCATGTATCCGTTTGTTAAACGTTTCATCTTCACTTAAAATTAAAAGAATAATAAGGGACATATAAATATGATGTGATGTATTGTTTGGTGCATGATATAATATTTGCAATATTGGAGTTACCTATAAATAAACATTCACATGAGAGATCATTAAATATTAAACGTAATTCAATTTTAAAAAATAAATTTTTAGATCACTTACCAATAATTGTATATCAGGCCTTTTCATTATGTCCTGTTTCACACTCGAATTCCTATGTAACAGCATATAGAGCAGGAGTGTGATTTCATCTGTATTTGGTATCTTACAAATAGTGCTATATAATTTATTTAAATTAAATTTAAAGACCTCGACTGTTTTCGTTTGTGATGTAGGTTGATCTTCTGCAAAAGAATATTTTTATCATTGAAATAATTTGAAATCCAACACAATCAAATTCTTCACCAAAATAATATCACAATTATATAAATTAAATAATATTCATAATTATATTAGATTAGTTTAATGCATCTCTCACCTTGCATATCTATAAAAGAAAAAAGCGCGTTTCTATATGGATTTTGCGTAGCAGTACAATGATTCGTCAAAACCAATAGAAGTAATAGAGACTGACTAGCGAGTGGAGTTTCCGTATCGCGTTTTCTCTCCTCGTCCTCAGCAGTACCGTTATGTGCAATCTGTACATTTTTCGAACCACTACCAATGCCCATTTTTATTACGTTCCATAATCCAGCTAAAATAATATTTTATATTAACACTTATAAGACAAATCGCTCGCGTTTTGTGATAGTGTCATATTTACCAGCTATACTGAATACAATACTACCCCCAGGTTGCTGTGTCAGTAATCCTGGAGGAGCGTGCTCCTGTTGTATAAAATTGTGCAACAGTATACACACCACAGCAGGTGCTTGTTGACTTGAATGCGCATGCATCGCTATCCTATATACAGTGCTATATTCGGCTGCAGTTTGAGAAAATAATTGCACCGAAAGTAACACAAGTAAACAATTAATTGCTTCCAAATGAACAACATATGTAAATTCACTAAAAAAAGATGCTGATTTATAATACACACATGTATAGTAAATGTATTTTATATATTTTTAAAAATGTACATACACATATATGTTTAAATATATGTTATTTAAGTATATTTAAGTATATTCACTTACCATAGAGGTACATCTATAATAAGTTCTATCAATGCATCAAAAAGTTCTTCCAATCTAAGAGAAGATAATGCTTCATTTGCTGAAGTTGTTTGTGGTGCTTCAATGTGTCTTAACATTTCTTCCTCACCAACAGTCTCAATAAAATACTTCAAAATGCATCTCACAGCAAATAGTGCATTGTATGTTTGCCATGTTGATATTATACTGTAGGTACACAAATTTATACAATTTAGTTTATCGCATATTGTTTTATAGACAAAATAAAAACTTTTTATATATAACAATTTAATTAATTATAATGTACCATAATAAAGTGACAGAGGCTTACTTTTGATTTTGAACCGGTGCTAGCAGTTCATTAATGCGTACAAGAGCTACTTGTATCAGAGTACCAAAGTTGCCAGTAATCAAATTATTAACGAGTAATTGTTGACACGATAAGTCTAGTCTTGAATCGAGCTCTATTTGATCGTTTCTTGTAATAGGTGGTCGCATGTTGTAAGATAAAAAAGTGTTCCAGAATGGATCATTTGCAAGTATGCTTTGCTTTCCGCAGAATCTTTCCAGGTATACATTTTTGGAGAGATCTTCATAGCGACTTGGTGTTGTACCCATTGCTTTTATTGATCTTCTGAAAATTAAATAGCAATAACTTTCAATATTTGAAGTATCTCAAGTAAATATTTCTTTTTTTTATAAACACTTATATCACTTTTTATTCAGATACATGTAATATTTATATGTATATATACAATTTGCTCTTTTATATATATATATATATATACACACACATGCAAAACTAATGTAATGTAATGTTATATCAAAGAAAATCAAGTAAGTTGGCACATTCTATTGAATTTGAATAATTCTTTAAACCATCAACAACAATAAATATAAACATAAAATTTCTTTCTGAAAACCAATATAATCAACAGTTTCTTTGACAGTTCACTTTGACAACAGCTTAGTACTTAGAATGAATCGATAAGAAGAATTACGCGCAATTGACCGCGAATATTTTAACGATACAATGTACAATTATATTAGCACATTGCTTTTTTAATATAACGATATTATTTTGCCGAGAGCATTCGTCGTGACGAATCAAACGAACTAATCTAACCTTCACACGTCATGTATTGAAGATGTTTGGCAAGATCGCAAGATCACTTCTTATTTCAGCCAGCGATTATTTACAATGTAATTCTTCACTAGAGATATCCGTACTTCATTTCATCTGTTGAAATAAAGTGTACTTACAAAATTACAGATATTAATAGTAAACTTGCATACGACGCATTGACAGGAAAAAGTTCCACTGGTATCAGCACCAGCTGACGTTACGTCAGTGACGTATCGGTACAGTCGATAGTCGATCATTGATGAATCGATTCTATCATATCAACGCAATAAAAAGAATTGTGTATAAATAAATATAATTCCCGCCATTCAATGATCTAATAATAATTTAATAGATTTTGCAATTAAACTGTTAATTTGTAAGAAAATGCAAAATAATAATTGTATGTGTCTTCAATTTATTTCTAAACTATCCGAAATATAATATGAAACTTATAACGCTCAAGATTAAAAAAAAAAATTATTATCGCTGCTAATAATTATTAAAACATTAAAAAATTAAAAAGTGTATTTAATAATATATAGAAAAACATTAATAAGATGGTCCTCCAAAATATATAAAAAAATATTTTAAAAAGACGTGTAAAAATTGCGATACATGCATAATATTGATTAATTACGTAATGTGTAAAATTATATATAAATAATGTATATATAAATATTAAATGTTTTAAAACTTTAACAAAAAATGTGAATAAAAAAATGTCATCTATAAGATCTGATTTTGCGATCAAAATATCTATACGCTTCTATTATATTGCAATATAATAATAGATATTGCAATATAAATTCTAACGTTTGATTTTTATATTTGAAGAATAAAGATTTTATCAAAAAATTATTTATATCAATTACCTTATTATTTTATATCAAATTTTTATGTTTCAAGATAAATAAAACTCATGACATTAATGAATTAAAATTTTAAATTTTGTTATGTTAGAAGAAGAACAATACAATAAAATTTAACTGCAAAAAATGTGCCAATATATTCTTTTTTAAATTCTTTTTCTTTTAATTTTGAGAAGGCTCTGATATGTTAAAAATATCGATTTATCACGCTTTTTTAAAGAGTACTAGATAACACAAGCGCGCCACAAACAAATTATTAAATTATAACGCATAATAAAAATTTAAGAATACTTATGTACTGCACATAATAAAAATTCGGCGAATATAAATTTAAAACATAATGGAAATTCAAGAATTAAAATTAGGTACACAATAAAAATTCAAGAATAAAATTATGTACAAATAGAAATTCAGTGAATAAAAATTATTTACATAAAAGAAATACGACAAATTAAAATTATATACGTAATAGAAATTGGACAAATTAAAATTATTTAGATAAAAGATACAGTGAATTAAAATTATGTACATTACGGAAATTCGGCAAATTAAAATAATGTACATAATAAAATTTCAGCGAATTAAAATAAAAATAACGCTTCCCTGTCGCGATAGCCCACAACGGTGCAAAAAATAAGTATTATATGTATACATTATTATATATATTATTTATTGCCTATATAAGCAATAAATAATATATTATTAATAATATATATATTCTGTTTTTCTTTTGTTTACCTTTTGTTTATAAAGCTATATAAAAGAAATTCTAACTGTTAATGAAAAAAAAACTAATTTGGAATAGAGGAATTTTAGTAAATAGAAAAATCGATAATGATTAAAATATAAAGCTTAATATGCCTAATAATGAATTATAACGATCAAATGTTTAACTCATATAAGCAATAATTAATATATTATTAATAATCATTTTCTATTTTCTACAATAGCTCTATTATAAAGTAATTTTTTTTTATTTACAATTAAAATTCTCCTTTACACAGCTTTATATACAAAAAATAACAAAAGAAAAATAGAATAACATATTTGTTCTGCACATTTATGCTATTAATATAAAAATATTAAACAAGAGAAATATTTAGTCTTTAAAAAATAATCCTAAAATAAAGCAACTGACTAATATAATACATAAAATTGGGTATCTAATCATCATATAAATTATAAAGTTCTGCAAACATTTTACTCGAGAAGCAAGCTTTTGCATCGCCAGATTCAGAATGCAAACTATCGTTATTTGATTGTGAACAACTAAGACGTTAAATATTAAATGTTAGCAAATAGCTCATACGTGATTCTAAAGCCAGGTATTCCCTCAAAGATCTCTCTACTTTCTTGTCTGTGCATTTCTTGAATTATTATTATGTCGTGACATAATTTTAATTCATCGTACTTTTATTATGTCTCGACATAATTTTAACTCATCGAATTTTTATTATGTCTCAACATATTTTAATTCATCGAATATTTATTATGTCTCTAAAGTGATTTTCGTTTCGCTTGTAGTTGAACGCTATAGAAAATACAGTAGTTTAAAGAAAATTGTCAAAATTGATTCTTTACAAATTTCAAGATTATCGAATTCTGCTTTTTCCATTAATATATTTTTCGATTAAAAATGTTTTAAACAATAAAAATCGATTCCAAACACAACTAAATCAGCAGAATTTTAAATATCTTAAAATTTGACACTTTTAAATTTCTTATATTTCGCTTAAAAAATATTCGCACTTGGAAATGTCCTGTCTTTAGGATATTTAGTTAAATGTGGCACCTGAGTTTAGAGAATTAAATTTTATATACAAAAAACGACAGCATTTCAAACGGAAACCTAAAAATGTAAAAAATTAAAATTGAATTGTCCCAACTTTAGAATAAAACAAATCTAAATACGCAGTATTATTTAATATCGTTTCTAAATGTAAAAAATGATTTTCGTTTCTTGTAGTTGTACGCTTTAAAAAATACAGTATATTAAATAAAACTGTCAAAGTTAATTCTATTAAAATTTCAAGATTTTCGAATTCTGCATTTTACATTATATATTTTTCGATTGGGAATTTTATTAAAAATCGATTCCAAACACGACTGAGCATGTGAATTTCAAATATCTTAAAATATGAAACTTTTAAAATTTTCGCTTCAACATCGAAATCGATCTATCTTCGCTTAAAGACTTTGAACGCACTTGAAAATGTGTTTTTAATATATATTAATGTTAATCTGACAGCTGACTATAAAAATTAATTTTTTAATACCGAGAATAATAGTACGTCGATCGCTTGCGTCGTCAGTCGAAAAATCAAAAGTTCAAGTTTTTCCCCAAATTAAAAATAACGCAAATCCAAATCAACAGTCTTATTAAGAATCTTTATAATGTGTGAAGTGAATTTCGTTTCGCTTGTAGTTGCACACTTTAAAAAATACAGCAGTTTAAACAAAACTGTCAAAGATAAATTTTTTCAAATTTCAAGAATAACTGCTTTGTAAATCCAAATTCAGCAGTCTTATTAAAAATCGTTTATAGATATGTGAACTGAATTTCGTTTCTTTAAGTTGCACACTTTAAAAAATTCAGCTTAAACAAAAATCGAAATAAATTTTTAAAGACTTTGAACGCACTTGAAAATGTGTTTTTAATAATATTAATGATATCTGAACTGATATTCGTTTCGCTTTAATACCGAATAATAGTACGTCGATCGCTCGCGTCGTCAGTCGAAAAATCAAAAGTTCAAGTTTTTTCAAATTGAAAATAACGCAAATCCAAATCAGCAGTCTTATTAAGAATCTTTATAGATGTGTGAACTGAATTTCGTTTCGCTTTAGTTGCACACTTTAAAAAATACAGCAGTTTAAACAAAACTGTCAGAAATGAATTTTTTCAAATTTCAAGATTTTTAAATTCTGCTTTGTACATCGATGTAACATTCGTAGGCGAATGTCCCGAACCACAAAAACGATTCTAAACACGACTGAGCATGTATATTTGACATATCTTAAAGCTTGTCACTTTTTAAATTTTTCGCTTAACATCGAAATCGATCTATCTTCGCTTAAAGACTTTGAACGCACTTGAAAATGTGTTTTTAATATATATAATGTGAATTTGACAGCTGACTATAAGGAATTAATTTTTAATACCGAAAATGATAGTACGTCGATCGCTCGCGTCGTCAATCGAAAAATCAAAAGTTCAAGTTTTTCCACAAATTGAAAATAACGCAAATCCAAATCAGCAGTCTTATTAAGAATCGTTTATAGATGTGTGAACTGAATTCGTTTGCTTTAAATCGCACACTTTAAAAATACAGCAGTTTAAACAAAACTGTCAAAAATGAATTTTTCAAATTGAAAATAACGCAAATCCAAATCAGCAGTCTTATTAACAATCGTTTATATATGTGAACTGAATTTCGTTTCGCTTTAAGTCGCACACTTTAAAAAATACAGCAGTTTAAACAAAACTGTCAAAAATAATTTTTTCAAATTGAAAATAACGCAAATCTAAATCAGCAGTCTTATTAAGAATCGTTTATAGATGTGTGAACTGAATTCGTTTCGCTTTAAGTCGCACACTTAAAAAATACAGCAGTTTAAACAAACTGTCAAAAATAAATTTTTTCAAATTGAAAATAACGCAAATCTAAATCAGCAGTCTTATTAAGAATCGTTTATAGATGTGTGAACTGAATTTCGTTTCGCTTTAAGTCGCACACTTTAAAAAATACAGCAGTTTAAACAAAACTGTCAAAAATAAATTTTTTCAAATTGAAAATAACGCAAATCTAAATCAGCAGTCTTATTAAGAATCGTTTATAGATGTGTGAACTGAAATTCGTTTTGCTTTAAATCGCACACTTTATAAAATACAGCAGTTTAAACAAAACTGTCAAAAATGAATTTTTTCAAATTGAAAATAACGCAAATCCAAATCAGCAGTCTTATTAAGAATCGTTTATAGATATGTGAACTGAATTTCGTTTCGCTTTAAGTCGCACACTTTAAAAAATACAGCAGTTTAAACAAAACTGTCAAAAATAAATTTTTTCAAATTGAAAATAACGCAAATCTAAATCAGCAGTCTTATTAAGAATCGTTTATAGATGTGTGAACTGAAATTCGTTTCGCTTTAATCGCACACTTTAAAAAATACAGCAGTTTAAACAAAACTGTCAAAAATGAATTTTTTCAAATTGAAAATAACGCAAATCCAAATCAGCAGTCTTATTAAGAATCGTTTATAGATATGTGAACTGAATTTCGTTTCGCTTTAAGTCGCACACTTTAAAAAATACAGCAGTTTAAACAAAACTGTCAATA